ATCACTTATAACAGTAAACAATGACTTTCCATTAATTACTGTGGAGATCAGTATGTATATCATCATGTTAGATACTTCTACCCAACCAACTGCTGTAATAACGTCAAGTATTACGGAAAATAATTTAGAAGTTTCTGTTTCAATTATTTCAGTAAGTTAATAAGATGATGTTTTTATAACCATTTTAGTTGATACTATTAGTCTGTGACTTCCTATTATCCTACCATGTTTTCACATACACTCTCTTCCTCATCATCATCCTCATCATCATCCTCACCGAAATTAGCAAGTAAATCAATGTGCATGATACTTTACTAAATATAAATACCTTCCTACCAGTTGTTACTGAAACAATGAACAATAGACAGATAGCCCAAGTACCTAGTCCCTCACCCACACATAGCACAATAAAGCTGACTAATTCCCTAATATCCTCTGCTAGTACATTTGTCATATTATCAAGTGAGCCAATTACTTTTTATATTATTACTTTCTTTATTTAGCTGTACCACTCACTTCAACCACTCAATCAAGTGATTTATTTCTAGTTGGTGGAATTATAGTGGGAGTGGTCTGTATAATTCTTGTATGTACATGTCTACTAATAATAGCATGTATTATTGTTTGTATGAAGAAAAGATCAAAATCATCATCTAAAAGTAATCCTAAGGAACTAAGCACATCTTTAAGGATTTTAACAACATCTACAAATGATGATCATGATACTAATATTGATATCTTGAAGGATAATCCAGCATATGTTACAACTACTGGATCTACTTTTGGATCTACAACACTACAGGATAATCCAGCATATGCTCTAACTGCTGGATTTACTTTTGAATCTACAACTCTACAAGATAATCCAGCATATGTTACAACTACTGGTTTTACTTCTGGATCTCCAACACTACTGGATAATCCAGCATATGCTAGTGTTAGTAACACAGTACCAGTGGATGATGATACACTGTATATGCATGGAAGCAACAATAGCTCTGTTTTATACAGCGCAATAAGGAATCCAAATCAAAGTTAACAATGATGATTACGTATAGCAAGGACTTTTTTGGTAATACTACATTGTCTATTTTGTTTATTTCAAGGACCTTTTTAATAATTATTTTTAGTAATCTCTACTCTATAGGTGTGTGTGTGTGTGTGTGTGTTTATGTGTGCATAGTATATTGACTGACATCAGTCCTTTATAGTAGTAAATACTATTTTAGAATCAAATCATTATATTTTTACTGTTTTTTGTGTTTGTGTATGATATGTGTGGTTATCATGCATGTTTAAAAGCTTTCGGGACATTTTTGTGATAAATAAATGTTCACTGTTTTATCTACTAGGTCTTTGCAATAATGGATTAGCTTATATACATAAAGTACACAATACTTCAAGTGTTGTGATTATACTGTACATGTGTATACAATACAACGGCATGCTTTGAAGTAATAAGCATATTTCAACCTCACATTGCTTGATTTTAGGCTCATTAATAACTTACTTACTGCCAAGTTTGCTGGGAGGTTAATAAGTAAATTTTCAGGACGTGAATAAGTAGCCCAGGAAGTTAATAAGTAGCCCAGGAAGTTAATAAGTGGCCCAGGAAGTTAATAAGTGGCCCAGGAATTTACTTATTTACAAAAATGCACTAAATGTTGCTAAGTAAACTAGTTGTTTATTCTTGGCTGGCCCTCCTACTGTATAGCACTACTCCACTACAATCATCTTGTGTTACTTGAAGCAAATTTAGGAAGTGAAGAGGAAGTTTAAGTCAACAGAAGCATGTCTTGGCTCTTGCTGTTGATATTTGGCTTATGTGGCTTAGTTATATTGGTACAAGGTATGTTTGGGAGTAGACAATACAACTGAGACCCTATCTCATGAATATCAAGAT